TTAAAAACATCAGTCTGACTGATCAAACAAACAAGGAATCCCGACCTCAGAACTGGGTGTGAGCTGTAAAGGTAGAAGAAACCTTGAGACCGGTCACATGTATGAGGCAGGCATGTAGCAGGCCTCACAGCTCTGCACCAAGGTAAACAACACATATTTAATCACAATTAGTTCTCTCCTTGTCTTCTTGAACGGGAGGAGACTTGAGGCGAGTATAACATATATATATATATTCCACTCTACAAGTAGCAGCGTTAAATATGGGTTACTTAGTGTTTAATAGGGGTTAGGCAGAGTTAACTACAGGTTGCCTAACCTTAAATATGGGCTACACATATGAATAAACTGTAGCTCCTGACCTTAACTGATATTATTCCTATATCAATTATATATATATACCTGATTTTTCTTAAGAGACTGCGTGTTTGTATCTAAATACATACACACAAACACACATACAGGAACTACGACTCTACCCCTCCAACCAGAAATATGTAAGTATAGACAGAAAACATCTCGAGAACATTCCAAAGGAAAGCATTGACACTGCTCCGCTTACTTTAAGGAATAAATATTAATAGTGACTATTTCTGTGACCGCAAGAACGAGTAAGGAGATGTAATCACGTCATACATAAACAATCAGGGACACACGCAGGAAAGATAAAGCTAGACTCTAGCGGCGAAGCAGTAAGGACAAAAGAACTCATCTGAGCCGCAGGGATGTCAGGAGATATATTATCAGCGTAAATGGGGCAAAGAAACTGAATAAGTTGATCGGCGATAAGATTCCAAACAAGGACTCGAATATATACATGACAGGGACGTTAACGTCGGTCAGTCGGTCGATAGTAAAGCAGGTGGACCCAGAGCAAGAGCTTGTCCCTCCTTGTCCATAAATATGAATTTCTTATGATTATGTACACAAACTAAATTCTCTAACTACTACTTCTACTACTTGTACTACTACGACTACTACTACTACTACTACTACTACTACTAATAATAATAATAATAATAATAATAATAATAATAATAATAATAATAATGTAGATATCAGAATCAATAAGATTTTAAACAAACAAATGTTACCCCCTACCCCCTTACCCAACCGCTACACCCCAACCCCACCACCACCCCTCCAACCAACGCAGTACTCACAACCCTCCAGTACATCCTTCTCTCCTCCCCAGCATCCTTTCTGCCTCTGTTACTCCCCTCCCATCATCTCCCACCCCCATCCCTCTTACCTTGCACCCACATTCATCCCCTGCACCCTCCGTTAGACCCCTCCCCAGCCCATAACCCCTTACCCTTCCTGATCCCTCACTGGCGTGTAGACTAACATTGCTATTGCCTTTACTTCAGACATACTGCTGTTGTATCCACTTTTGTTACATAAAAGCTACTGACACTGTTTCCACTGCTACTGTTACTAGTAGATTATTATTACTGCTCCTATTACCACTGCTGTTTTTCATCCTCCTTTTTCCTATTCATCACCTGTTAATGTTATTCCTCTTAATCTCTTTTATTATTAACACTTACGTTTCATCTCTCTACTTCTATTCCTTTCCCTATTATTTCCACTGACTTTCGTAAAACAACAAGCGCAAGACTTCAACTATTCTTCCTTCTTCCGCTCTTCCTCTCCCTCTACTGCTACATCTCTTGTATCCTCTCATACATACTCTCTTACACCATCTCCTACAAGTCCTACAACCCAGTTTTCTATATACAGCCATAATACGTGAATTCTTGAATATTTTATTTTGCCTATACCTTTGAAAATCCAGTTGTACTTCTGTAAACCCTTTCAGAGCCTAGCTCCTAGGCTTTTTGTGTATCCACATGCCTTCGCGCTACTGTCCACAGGATGGATATGGGGAGCACAATGAACTAGCCACTTCGGTGGCCAAATCTAAATCTAATCTTTGAGGTGCCTCTTGTCTGCTCTTCCTCCAGGACTAATAACCTCTGGAATAAGGCAGGCAATTAAAAACTTTACTAAGCATATAGAGCAAAGAACTAAGGTGGTTCTAATTAATCTTAAGTAGAACCCCAGGCGTGAGCGACCCTTGCTGAGGTGGGTGGGTGGAGGTCAGAAAAGGAAGATCCAAATCTGGATTTTTTTTTTTTTTTTTTTTGCCTTGACATTTAATTTTTTTTATTTTTTGTGCCTATTTCTTGAGTTACATTTTCAATTTTTGGTACATTTTTAGACTAATTTATGTTATTTAGTGTTTTCAGTATTGGTTTAACTCTACCAGTGAATTACGTTCATTTGGTCATTTCTCTTTCATCTACTAATTCTACTTCTCTTAGGCTTTCCTTGGCTCTTTCTATCCGTCTTCTTCCTCCTCCTCCTCCTCTTCCTCACTCTCTCGGTCTTCATTCTCCTCTTTCACATGGGCCTCCTCATACTTCTTGTCCATCTCATCTTCTCTCTTCTTTTTTTTTTCTTCCTTCTCATTCTCCTCTCTCCCATGCATCTCTCTCATCTTCTTCGCGCGGACACGAACGGTAGCAAGGAAAACAAGGTTAATATCATAATAGAAAAATATGAAACATATTAGTACATTATATCTGGTGAAGCGCTAAACCTCTGTGGGTCATTCAAAGACTACTCACTCTTCATTCTAAGATATTATAAAATGAATGTTACTTTGGCAAAAAGAATTATGTACACATTTAGTATATTTTTAGAAGGATATAGGTGAACGCTCAATGAATGTTCAATAATTAAGATAATAATGTTTCTAAAGGTAGTAATAATTTATCCATAGATAAGGGCTAGGCATCCAAAGACGGATTATTATGTATATTGAAGCTCTGGTACTTTGCGGCGAAATAAAGGAACCAGGTATCCAATGGTTATGATTGTGTTTATAATGTATTCAAAGATTAGGGACAATGTATCTAAGCAAAGAGACCATCTTTGCAAAGGCAGGAACTCAGCAGCTCAGGATAGCAACTATGTATTTAGAGATATCAGCAATACATCCAGAGAAAAGTGCAATATATTCAAAGGTAAGGATTAAGTGTTTAAGTACCGAAGCTATGTAGTCAAAGACGGATACAGTGAATCCTCAGTGATAAGAGCTATGTATTCAAAGTGAGGTATTGTGTGCAGGGATATTAACTGTGTATTCAAAGATACAAACTACATATCTAAAGAAGAAGATTATGCATGTAAAGATGGGGAGTATCAAAACAATGGCAACAAATTTCTAAAGATGTGTGTAATCTGTCCTAAGATAGGGACTACGTATCCATATACATATATATATATATTATATATATATATATATATATATATATATATATATATATATATATATATATATATATATATATATTGCAAATTAAAGCTATATAATCAGAGAGAAAAACTTTTAACTTTAATAAATATAATAAAACTGTAAAAAACACTAAAAGGGCATTATCAATGTTATGAAAATTATATTCAATTTCAAGAAATGTAATAATATTATTAATAACAATAATAATAATAATAATAATAATAATAATAATAATAATAATAATAATAATAATAAAACATTGATAATGTTTTTGGGAGACCATGAAGCTCAAGTGAAAGTCAATGTCGTTTAAGATGTTTAAGAACATTTCGAGCTCCTGGAGTAAATGCCATTGTCAACATAAAATTTGTGCATAAAAAGAGGTTTGGTAGCAGACAAAATATTTTTTCTAGAAAACGGTGACTAAGTAAACAAGTGAAGAAACAGAGTTTTCTCCTAAACTATATGAAGCGAAGAAACCGAGCTTTCTCCTAAACTAATTGACAGAAAACTGCGGGTTAGGATTTTGTAGTAGCGGGAGTAAGAGGAAGAGGAGTACAAGTGAGACCTGTGTCAGTACGCAAAAGGAAATAGAAAATGAACGAGTTGAGGATTGGCAGTGAGAGATATAAACACTGGATGGAACAGTGTTTATCCACAAGCAAAGAGCTGGTTTAAACCTGGGGAATGAATACCCACAAGTGTTAAAAAAAAAAGTAAGCGAACACTAGGTTCCAAGACCAAAACATTTTCCATTAAGTATGTCTGAGTGTTTGCTCTCGTGGTAAGAATTTTGACGAGTTACATCGAAGATCAAAGAGCAATGTAAATACTGAAAATAAGAGAAGTGAAGAAATTAGATGATGGTCCTGTCAACACGGGAGGTGTTAAAACTGTTTGTCCATGAATAAAGAGTAGAGCAAGAGAGGTTGACTGAGAGGGCGTGAGTCAAACTTTGGGGTGGATTGGTAGTGGTGAAGAGAAGTTCCCAGGATGCTTGGATGTGTGAAAACTTTCTAGATTGGCAAAGAACTTTACAGAACACTCGATTTTTAAATAAATAAAACGCTAATAATAATAATAATAATAATAATAATAATAATAATAATAATAATAATAATAATAATAATAATTATAATACTACTAATAATAATACTACTAAAAATAATATTAATTACAATAATAATTCCAACAGACACAAATTTTATGTTATCAGGAAAATTCTTCATTTCTCATTCAGCCTCTTGGCTGTTTATCTCCTCTTCCCTCTCTTCCCCTCCCTTTCTCTCTCTCCCCCCTCTTCCCCCGATATTTTTCCCACCACTTCCTCCTTGCCATAACGTCCCCCTCACCTCCCCTCTTTTTAGGGGTGGAGGTGTTTCAAGAAAATGTATGTGACTCGTAAGAGAAACTGACAGCAGGAGATGTATGAGCTGTTTTCTCAACGAAATGGAATTGTTGGATAGATCTTGTGTTTCTACCTTCCTGCTAAGGTCTCAGAAGCCGGGGTCGCAGCCTCGTCCAGATCTTGTATGACGAAAGCTAAACTGGTGTTAGGCCAAATTTGTGTAAATTGAAGATGGTACTCACAGGAATACCCGTATGTGTGTGTGTGTGTGTGTGTGTGTGTGTGTGTGTGTGTGTGTGTGTGTGTGTGTGTGTGTGTGTGTGTGTGTGTACGTGCGTGCTTGCGTGTGATTGAGACGAGAAAATAAAAAAAAAACAGGTGATTTAAAATTCGTAAGTGGTAAACCCAGTGAAAACAGTTTTAACAAGATCCGGTAAGTAATTTCGTTCAGGAGGACATCATAAAGCATTGACTGTACGTAAAGTGTTGGGTGAATGCTGATTTATGTGCTTAAATCCATCCGCAAACGGTTGAAAAGTAAGCATAGTGTAGTTGATCAAAGAGAAGTATCAGTACACTAGTAAATATCTCCACAGTCAGCTGAAGCAAAAAAAAAAAAAAAAAGAAAGGTGGGGGAAGGAAAATGACATGAGTAGGGTAAGGAAATGAGATGAAGGGGGAGGCGGGGGGGGGGGGGAGGAAATGACAGGAGAGGAGGAGGACAAACACACACACACACATACACACACACATACACACACACACACACACACACACACACACACACACACACACACACACATACACACACACACAAATAACTGATGGAATACAAACATGTGGCCAGACCTCAACGACATTCCCCTCTCCCTCCCCTCACCTCTCCCCTCCCCCATCCTCAATAAGACACGTCCTGGAGTGATATATCACAGAACTTGTTTACCCGGAGCATATTCTTCCTATTCCTCCTACCTTCCACATTCTATCCTCCTCCTCCTCCTCCTCCTCTCTGCTCCTCCTCTTCCCTCACCCCTCTATTTCCCACCCCCATCACCTCAAGCACCTTCTCTGCCCTCACCCCCCCCCACCCACCCCAATCCACGCCAAACGGCACCGATATACACGGACCAAAAAAAATAAATGTATACCCTGACTGCAAGACGCTGGTTAGCGTGGTATCCTGCGCTGCACGCCAGGTGGAGAGATACATGTCCGGAGCGCTACCTAGACGCACTTGACGGTCTTACTAACTCCTCTATATGCACTTGACGGGATAATAACCTCTCCTAGCAGAAGTATATATATACACACACACACAATATATATACATAATATATATATATATATATATATATATATATATATATATATATATATATATATATATATATATATATATATATATATATATATATATACACATATATATATATATATATATATATATATATATATATATATATATATATATATATATATATGTCGTGCCGAATAGGCAGAACTTGCGATCTTGGCTTAAATAGCAACGCTCATCTTGCCATATAGGACAAGCGAAAATTTGTGTATGCAATAATTTCGCCAAAATCATTCTGAACCTAACGAAAAAAATATATTTCATTGTGTTTGTTTAGTATTAAATTATTATAATCAAATTTAAAATATATTTAGTTTGGTTAGGCTAAAATAAATTGAGCTTGTTATAATAAGGTTAGGTAAATTTTCTAAGATTCTTTTGGTGCAAAATTATAAATTTTTACATCAACGTTAATGAAAAAAATATATGTTTAAACGTATAAGAGAAAATTTTAGAAAGGACTTAATTTTAAATGAGTTCTTGCTAATTGACCAGTTTTACATATTCGGCATGACATATACATATAATATATATATATATATATATATATATATATAATATTATATATATATATATATATAATATATAATATATAATATACATATATATATATATATATATATAAATATATATAATATATATATATATATATATATATATATTATGTAATATAATATATATATATATATATATATATATATATATATATATATATATATATATATATATATATATATATATATATATATATATATATATATAATGTCGTGCAGAATAGGCAGAACTTGCGATCTTGGCTTAAATAGCAACGCTCATCTTGCCATATAGGACAAGTGAAAATTTGTGTATGCAATAATTTCGCCAAAATCATTCTGAACCTAACGAAAAAAATATATTTCACTGTGTTTGTTTAGTATTAAATTATCGTAAACAAATCTAAAATATATTTAGTTGGGTAAGACTAAAATAAATTGTTCTTGTTATAATAAAGTTAGGTAAGTTTTCTAAGATTCTTTTGGAGCGAAATTAAAAATTTTTACATTAACATTAATGAAAAAAATATCTTTAAACGTATAAGAGAAAATTTTAGAAAGGACTTAATTTTAAATGAGTTCTTGCTAATTGACCAGTTTTACATATTCGGCACGACACAACACACACAACACAACACAACACACAACACACACACACACACTACAACACACACATATATATATAATATATATATATATATAATATATATATATATTATATATATATATATATATAATATATATATATATATATATATATATATATATATATATATATATATATATATTATATATATATATTAATATATATATATGTCGTGCCGAATAGGCAGAACTTGCGATCTTGGCTTAAATAGCAACGCTCATCTTTCCATATAGGACAAGTGAAAATTTGTGTATGCAATAATTTCGCCAAAATCATTCTGAACCTAACGAAAAAAATATATTTCACTGTGTTTGTTTA